CAGCATTTCAGAAAATGCTACAGCATTTCACATTTTACGGAAAGGGTATTCCTTGAGAGAGAACACTTATTTTTATTATTCTTATTATTCTTATTCTCTGGCTGTAGCGTTTTGTGACATGCTGTAGTGTTTTGTGAAATGTTGTTTTGACTTGCACTTCAGGGCCACTATAAGATCAGATTGAATAGCAGCATTTCCCATGATGAGCCGAGGTTTGCATCAGTGATAGAGTTGAATCAGTTGTCAGGAGGTTGACCAGGTATGTTTATGCTCACATTCCTGGTGTGAAAGTGGGAAGCAGGCATTCAAGGACAGAAAGGAGATGTTTCTGTAACCAACATGTGTTTTAATTTTTCCTTAAAGTGCCAACGAGCATAACATCTCTCATGATTTACTGCTAATATAAGCCCTGAGATCCACCCTGGTTTATGTCAGACTACTTAAGAGGACACAAGAACTTACATAAAGTACTGACATACTGAAGTCTGTTGATACTGTGTGTACACACTATAAGTGTTACTATGGTACTGAGTGCTGTGAAATAGCCATAGAAAACAACACCCACTGAACAGATTCCCTATGGGAAGGATTTGCTTCAAGGTCAAACTCTCGCTGGTCATACAACTTTACAATTTCTTTTTCCTTTAAAATGTTCAGATTAATTAAATTGCAAAAAAGAGGTGAACAACAGAAATTGTTCAGGTGTTGCATATTACCACGAATATTGCACAAATAGTATCTCTCTCAAGTTGTACAACCATGCATGTATAGGTCCATAAAGTAGAGCATCATGTCCATATATAAAATAAGATATATGAACCAAGGTCTTGACTGCTCTTCTTTTACATCAAAGCCAAAGCTTCTCTTGACCCCAGAGGGAAGGTTTGAGAAGGACCAGAGACAAGCCTTTATTAAGAAAAGAGGACTTTTTCCCTAAACAACACTGATAAGTGATATGATATGAGGTGTTTGTAGACAGGGACATGATAGTTGGTACAGATGTGAGAGGAACGGGGTGATCCTTTATAACAAAATGATCTATTTAAAGCCTCACTGATAGAAGACAGAAAAAAGGATAAATATAATTTAAGAGAGGGGAAATAGTGAGAGATGTCGAAAAGGGATGAGAAGAGTGAAAAATGTAAGCTGGTGGTGCCTGGTTTCAGAGGTCATGTGAAAGATGTTGGTACATTTTCAGGAAGTCATGCTGGTTGAAAAACGAGCATGAGATCCAATAACAAATTAAGCTTTTCTGCATTTTCTCTACGTATTTTGTTTCCTACTTTTAAGGAACTTTAAATTAAGGTAAAGACACAGATAGAAGTGCAAACTGTCCTACTCTAGGTGGGAATAAGGTTTTATTTTTACAACTAAGTTCGTCTTTAGTCAATGCAGAAAATAAGATTCTGATCAAATAAATGGTGATGGATGTGAAGTAAGAGTCAAATCAAAGCCACAGTATACTTAGCAATAAAAGAACAAATGGCAAAGAGAAGCTTAGGCAGTATTACAAACAGTCCGTGAGCTAACAAGGTTGACCCTTACACCACCCAACATATTGAGGGTTTTTATCTGAAGAAGGCACCTGTATACAATACACTAAAACTTTGACTTCATTTTTCAACTCAGCAATGGTACCGATTGCAAGAAAGTATGCAGCCCTATGATATTTTACAAGCTGAGGCATGATATCATCTCTATAATTTACAGAAAGCAAGAGGGAGTCACATTAGCAACGTTTATGGATATTAGCTTAGAAGAAGATACCATTCACTTTCAAGATTGTCAAGGACCTCATGATTGCATCCATTCATGCAGGAAGCTGGGGGAAAAAACCTGAGCCTAAAGAGTTGCATCATTGGAACCAGCTTTTTAACATGGATAAAACTGTCATCAAGATTGTGTAAAATCTCACTGAACGTGAAAACCTTCCTCGTCTGCCCTGATAACTAGAGTGATGATGGGGGATTTCGAGGTTTAAAAAACCCCACAAAGGTAATTACATTGGTAAATGGATCTTTCACCGTTTATGTTGATGGAGAATTTTTTATGTCTATGTTAATTGAATAAGCAAAGACATATTCACATACACAACCATTAACGTGTTGTCTGATATGGCTATACAGTATATACTTATATGGCTAAGCCAAGGCATTTTCGTGCTACTAAACTACACTTTTTTATTACATACAGTATGTACACATTCCCATAATGGACTGGTAAGCATTACAAAGCAAGAACCAAATTAAAGTTAGAACCCAGCGTTCTCTTGATGAAATTAATGTTTTGAACTAAATATTTTTGAACCAAGCCAGAAACTCAAGATTGATTTATTCTTATTGTATAATGACTGACCTAAACACTATACTGTATATATACTGTAGATCTATTAAAAGGCATGTAGTATCATCTTATATCCCTGTCTAGACAGCACTGACATAGCAACATGGCTTGGGAACCCATTGAGAGCTGAATCCAAGTGTCTGCATCTTCACACTGGCTCTCTGTCTGTCATCTGTATGAGTGTGCACATGGCTGAATGTGTGTGCTCTGAGTTTGTGACTCATGCTCAGCATGGCTGAATGTCTGTGTGTGGCTGCCTGTTTATCTTTCCTCTCCCTCAGACACCAGCCTGAAGCAGTGTTTCAACTTAGCAATGGATGTGGATCCCCTGGATAGGGTTGCTGCCCTAACTACTGTAGATGTGTTTTATTATCCAATGGTCCCATTTCTCCAACACACTATGAAATTGTCCATGTAATTGTCCGGTGTACCTTTTTGTTTGTATGTACTGTATACAAAACAATAATACTGTGGTTAGCTGTGAGTACTGCTGATACTGCTCAAACCCTTGTCTGGCATCAAACTGGGTGAGCACAGACCAGTTTGTTTAAATGATGGAATTTGATCACTTTGTGAAACAGTGAGGAGGACCATCAACTGTAAAATGTCAGGTTTTCCATAATGTTCTCTCCTTCAAATCTGAACACCTCACACTGCTCTTTGTTCCAAATACTGTATCAGCCCTTAAGCTTTGGATCAGGATTTCCCCCTATGATTGCCTAGATTATCAAATACAGTTTACTTGAAATCATCCGTCCATCATCAAATGTTGGAGAGGAAGGCTTGACTGCTTAACGGTTCAAATCATTACACAGTCTTGGAAAATATGATCAGGGAAAATGAGAATGAGAAACCCGAAAACAACCAAGGTGCCCTCGAGCAAAGTATTTATCCCAAAACTGCTCTATTAGAGTTGCTCAGTAGCCAACGGTAGAAGACTGGTTTCACGCGCCACTTAAGTAAGGGAATGTGTGTGTTTGTGTGTATATCTGTTGTTGTCAAGCAGTGAAAAGAAACATCAACAAATGAGCTTGAGAGGACAACAGAAGTTTGTTCTGAAGCCGCACAAGGTGAGCAAGGAGCAAAGCCAAGGTGGACTTCATTTTTATCTCATCCTATGGTTTTATTATATAGACTTCAATTTTCTTACAAAATGCCTCAAAATTGGAGCTTGAATAAGAAACCAGTAGTGGCTACAGGGAGTACAAATCCAATAATTTCCAAATAAGTCAGAGTAAGTGTGAGAAAATGGCACTATGGCTTTTCTTTGCTGAGTCCAGAGAACACAATCTCATCATTTTAAGAGGCCCCTATTATTTCATAAATCGATCCCTGCAATACCTTCCAACTTTGTATCAGCAACCTTGATCCCCCCGTTTTGGAGAACAATGAAGGGTTTGAGTAGCTGCAGTTCGGAGTATTTGCATTAGATGTGGGAACTATCCAGATACATATGCCTGTACAGTTTATAATACATGATGTTTCCACTGAAGGAGAACCATAGTCTGCCAGTTTCCTGCCAATTAACATACTCCTCTCTAAGAGGGTCATATACTGAACATACACATATCAATGTACTCAAGTAAGTTCACTTTTTTCCTTTCACTGAAGTTCCACATCAAATTTGTCCAGAGACTTGAACAAAGTTTCAAATAAACAACACAAACATGACTAGTTAGAGATAAACAGTGACAGACAGTGAAGGGAGATACAAAAGACCAAGACAATCACTTGCAAATCTATATTATACTGTCTGATACGGCCTGGTTTATAGTGGTGACTGGCACATAGCAGAGTGAGTCACCAACACCATCTGCCCCTTCCTCTCTCACCTCTGCCTGTGTCTAGCTGTCTGGACCCTCTCCTCGCTCGCTGGTGCCCACGCTTCATCAGCACTCCTCCCTGGGGTGATGGATGGTCTGTCCATACTTCCCAATGACTCAAGCCAGCTTCTTCCAGGCCACCTCATTTCTTCAACATTATTAAATTCCTTCCTATCACCCTTCCTCTGACTCACCCCAGCCCCTCGTCACCGCCATGGCCAGCCCAGCCCTACGGTCAGCACCATTTGTGGCACTTGATAAATTGCCATACGTCATTTTTCTATCATCTTCAGTCCGAGCCCTTCCTTCTTTTCTGTATAAACAAAACTTTACCATCACCGTCACTCTAAAGATTTGAGCAATATATTGAAGTATCTTAGTTAATAGTTATTCATTAATTTTCTGTTTATTGTAAATCTACCTTTTATTTTTGTGTAATTTTAGTTATTACACCCAATAGGCATATGTTTTATTACCACAGGGTGTGCACGAGACAACAGCAAGATATAAGAAAACTGTTGTACTTCTATGATATTGGATCAAAGAAATAAAATGCACAGAAACGACTCTTGCCTGGACTTGGATCTTCAACCCATTACCTTTTCTATTTGCAGTTCAAATATGCTGTGGAATCTTGTGAAACATTCCCTATTTCAGCTAGTTACAGGTCTATCGATGGACTAACACACTTAATAAATTGTACGATTTTATGGATGTGAGTATGCATGGTTATGGCATGGTTAGTAAAAGACAGGGTTTCTTCACATCATAGTATTTAGAAGTAGAGTATACAGTTACAAAAATCAACTAAGTGTTAGATTTGAGTGTTTCTACCTGTGTAGACCTCTGCCTCTGAGGGATCCTCCACTCGTTTATGCTGGATGATGTAGTCAGAGACTTTGCAGCCAATCAGAGGCTCCACGTCCATCCACTCCACGGCCACCATTGTGCTTGAGGGCTCCAGGTAAGGGGCTAGGCGCAAACTAAGGAGAAGATTCAACACATGTTAATAAGATAAATATTAACAATGATATCAACAGGTAACCACAAACACCCTAGTTTTGAATTTGTATTAAGTGTGTTATGTGCCTAAGGTATGGATATAAACCCTAGAATTGATGAGTAAGAATCCCATGTGGTAATGGTTATGTTCGAGTGCAGACTGTCACACCTCTGCCTTTACACTACAGTATCTCATTGGATAACAGGATGGAAAACAGCAGCTTTAAACAAAACAGCATTCCAATGCCACCTATTCTCCAGAAGTGTTCCCTGTGAGTCTTCCCTCTAATAATTCAAAAGAGATAAAATAGCAATATTTCCATTTTGCCTGCCCTCAAGCTGTGTCTGTGACAATGGCTAAGAGAGGTAGGCCTATCCCTCTTTCATAAAAAGGATGCTCTCGGATTTATCTTCACAGACAATCATAAAAAGTTCTGCAGGTTTTTACTGGTTTTACTGGTTTTTACTGGTTTTTACTCCGGCACTTACCAGATTTGGAGATTTGCTTGCTGCAAGCTCTCATGACTTGTCTTTTTGTGCCAGTATGCATGGGCCCAGGGAAAACCTGACCAAAACTCTGGTTGTGGCACCACCCCATTATCTACAATTTCCCCACCACAATCCTCAAACCAGCCAATACCCAAACCACCGTAAGAGTCCACTTGTGCATGACTTGTGCAACATATTTTTGGTAAAGTATTGCTTAAGAGTTAAAAAAAATAATCAAATCACAAGGTCAATTTTCTAGCTGTTCTGGAGTTTATCAGGAGTCTGCCATTTTTTTGTAAGTTGAGTGAATTTTAAATGTATAAATGTTGTTTTTCTTCTCGTCTATGTCGGCTTAAAAGCTAAGGTGCCAATGTTAATTTGACCCTGGAAGCGGTGGAAGACTGGGAGCCAATTTTGACCCTGTTGCCACAAACTCCTTCATAGATATGCGTCATAAATCCAAAATGTGTGATATTTTAAATAAAATATATGAATAATATCCAGTCAGTATCCAAGGGATGGATCCTGTTGACCAATACAATTGAAAATGCTTATGTACCTTGTAAGTACAATTTGTGCGATAGTAACCTTGTGATGAAATGTCACTCTTTAACAACAATAACAGTGAACTTTTTGATTTTTAATTGGCAACCATTGACTTAGAAAGCATTATGCCACCCTATGCATTTAGGTTCTGTAGTCAGTTATAGTTGTTAATGTAGGAAGACCAACTTTAACCAAATGTATAGGTTTTGCAAGATTTTGTCACATTGAATACAAATCTTCACAATATTTTATCCTTGTAAAGCTGTTATTGTTTTTCTAGAGTGGTGCCAATGAATGTTGCCTCAGATTAACCCTGGCATGTTATATTCTAATAGCCATATTTTTTTCATTCTTTAAAGACTCTTTCATTGTAGCCTTAAGAACTGAATGAATGCCCTCAGTTCTCAAGGCAGCAATGGGCTGGATGACTCAAGAGTATTATTAAGACACCTTGAATGAGAGAATGTTCTTTTCAGAGGGGTGTAAAGGCAGACTGACAGCTATTAGAACTTCTGGGACTGTGCTTGTTTCTACAACTTTCTCTAGTGCCCCATGAGTCAGTGGAGACAGGTGTGCACGTCCGTGTGCATATGTGTAGGCCTGCAGCTCTGTGGGGCATGGATCCATGAAATATCTCTTGTGCATGAATTACTAGGTTTCACGGTGTCACCTCACACTTACATTGGCTGCCTGAGGGGACTGCAGTTAGGCAGGCCATCTTTGCTGAAGGCACTCAGGTCACAGCGACACCAGTTATCAATGACATCGCCCTTTCCAGCACACCAGTATGAGCTCATTGTGGCACTCTTGAAGGCCTGTAAAGGGTAACAGGTGAGAGAAATGCAATTATTCTGCGCTGCCTGTCCATCTTTGCTTCCCCCACCCCCATCTTCCACCAAGACCACCCTCTTCACCGGTGCACCCATATCCCAGAACACACACACACACCCACACCCACACCCACACACACACACACACATGCAAAATATTCATTTCCATTTCCCCATCCCCCTACAATTAACCATAAACAACAACATATCAAACCTAAGCCTTCCCATATGATTTGTGGGCATTCCAATATTTCTTTGCTTTGAAAGAAATGTCCTCTCTCTGACTTATAGAACTAAAACAGATCTCACAAAGATAGTAGCACAGGTACACACCCACACACCTACACACGGAGTGACCTTTTCAAACCCAACGTTCCCAATTACCGGAAGGCAGGAACATCTCACTAACATTGTCAAGCTTGGACTGTGATATCATAGATGCACTGTGACTTTTATAATGGAGGTGTGAAAGCTGTGACACTCCCCACCTCCTCCATTCTATGCGTATGTTTGTGTGAGGATCTGTCGGTGTCGATGTGGGTCTGTCTGCGAAGGGGACAGGGAGGAGAGGGGGAGGGGTGCTAGAAGATGACATCATCTCCTAACATCCTAGTGCAGCTTCATTAACGGGCAAAAGAAAAATCAAAGGCAGAAGCTCAGTCATCCTCTTAAAGGAAGGGAAATGCCAATAGAACCGTCAAAGTAATAAAGTATAATCTCAGGGCTTTCCCTTAAGCCACAGGCATGATAGACAGTGAGTTCAAGGGAGTTTGCAAGGACTGTGGCTCTCCCTGTCACACTATGGATCAATGGAGCACTCAGTTATTTATGCGCTCTAACTGGTTGGCAGTTCTGCCTCATGCAGACAACTTTGGAGATGTGCTTGATCATGGTCACAAAAATAAGACGCTGGAACCATGCGGAAACATTATCACCCGGTACCAGGCACAGAGAAGACACTCCTTTGTTCATACACCATGACATTCACTTATCCAAAAGTAAAAGAGTTGTTGAGAACACACACAAATCTTTAAGATGACTGTGAACAAGCATTGTGTGCATGTGGGCACATGCAAACATATGCGCGCACACACACACACACACACACACACACACACACACACACACACACACACACACACACACACACACACACACACACACACACACACACACACACACACTTCTGCAGTGTGTTGATTAGTGAAAGTGACATTTGAGATTACTTTGGGCATAGTTCTGACCAGAGAGGCAGACATTTTGGCCAAAAAAAGAGTCAAGGCACGCACTCAGAAGCTGATGTTAGCATTTCCACAACACTGCATTGTTAGCTGTTAAGGAGGCTCAACAGTCTTTCATGGGAACTGACTTCTTCCAATACCCCTTGTTTTACTCAAGGCAAAAGATCTTGAGGTGGGAAAGTAACCACCATGAGCAACAGAGAAAGGAAGAGTGGCGTAAAGGAAAAGGACATAAAAAACATCAACAACATGAAGGTGTGAAAAAAGGAAACTCAACACATTCCCCACCTTACTGTGGGACAGGATCAGGATCCTTCAGCAGTGAAGGCTTCCCCAGTAGTTATCCTCCAACACAAGCCCCTCTAACTGAGCGTGCTGAATGAGCAGTTATTATAGTGGGTAAGCAAGCACTGTAATCCATGGCCATATAATAACCCCTTGGAAAACCAAAAAGGGGAAAAAGGTAATTACATTTCTCCCTCCTTGCCTGAAACCATGTGACTAACTGCTGCCAGAAAACAACAGCAGCAGGGGTTTCGCCACCTCATGTCAATTTGAAGCAAGCCACAGACAAAAGCAAAAAGAAAAAACTGGACTCAAGTCCTATGCACGCACACTGACTAGACAAATATGAGGAATTAGAAATGACCGCTGCTGGGGGCAAAAGAGAGAGAGAGAGACCACAGGACCGCCATGCATTTACCAGCACCAGATTCCTAGAAAAATCCCATATGGGTCTGCTCGCTTGATTGCATGGCTGCACATGTGAAAAATAGACAAAGCGATTACCGCCATGTTTATGTTTGAAGAGTAATGCAAGCCAGTCTCCACTGGGTAAACAGGGAATCTAATTGTGGTTTAGAGAATGAAGTAGGGGGGTAGGTGGGGGGCACAGGAGGTAAAGCAGAGATGAAGATTTAGAGCAAAGCTAAAAGAAAAGTGATACATGTAAAGTGATACTATGTCGGATGTGTGGCCATAAAGAAAGCAATATGTCCGACTGTTGCAAGTGAAGTGAACAAAAATTATTGTGTCAGTGAGGAAAATCGTTTAGTGAGATGACACACAGAGAGTACTTCTGTGTTTAATGCAGAGATAGGTCAGAACTGAAAAGAGGAGGATACCCTATACTGTATTGATAAACCACAGATCATACATTTCCCAGAAATTCTATAGATCCATATACATTCTGTTACGGAAAATGAGGGGTAAGCAACCTTATCTATTATGCTTCATATTAGAAAAGTAAGTATTTTGATTAGAAAGGACCAATCCGAGCATTGACTGTAAGACAGACTTTATGCAGTCATGACAGATAGGCTTTCAGGAATTGGCAATACCGCTATGGTAATAATACCGCAGGGTTCTACAATTTAACAAATATACCACAATCCATTTCTATTGACCTTATCGATATTGAACAAATTGAGCTGAAATGTAATCACCCCCTGCTTACTGAAGACAACATCAGATCAGCAACAACTCCAAGCCTCGACATCATCTAAACCCAGCAGACTCACTGGCACCAAAAACTATTTGGACCTTTCACTTTCGTTGAAGCCTGTCGTGACTAACAAGAGGACAAGGAAGGCCATCGTGACCTCTTAATGTATTAATCTGTTTGTCTAGTCTAAGCTGACCGTATTACTGTCCATCTTCAGAGGCTAATACACAAAAACACTGTCCAGCTGGCCCACACTATTGATTTATAAGATGATCACCAGTGGTGGTAAAGAGTCTGAGTCAGCACGCACAGGACAACATCGATGGTGACCGAAGTGCGTATGTTTGTTTATGTGTCTGTGTGTGCCATTTGTCTAGCCTTTCCAATCATTCAGAGCTAATGGTGTTAACAAAGGAACCAATGGGCTGCTTCTAAGAACCTTATCAGAAGTAGTACTTCCCGGAAAATGGAAGAGGTTTGGTTCATCCAGAGGTTGATAGGGGATTGCCGTGTCACTGGAGGGCCCTCTAACAGCACCAATTGGGTTTTTGTTGCCAACTCTCTGTTCGACGATGGTCTAAGCTCATCTGACCAGCAAGTGGATTGACTGTGCTATGTTACTATGTGTTATCAAATCAAACTTGGTGAATAAACATTATAAATTATGAGAAAAGTTTGTCAATTTGGTTGTTAAACTTTTCTGTAGCCTAAAAGTCAAGTCTGATCTGCTGCTGATGTAATTCATGCTTTGTGGACTAAATGTTCACAATAACATAAACTCAGTTGCTGCCTTCCGGAAGGTTATGATGTTAGGTCAATTATTTTGTCCACCCAACTTCTATCAATGAAGGAACAACATATTTTGTAATGCAATACAGTTCAACAGCACCACAAACTACAACAGCCCAATCACTGTACAAATGAACAACAACAAACTAATAATTGTAACTTTCATGAGGATATCATGTATTGCAAGGTCTTGTATTAGAATGTATTATTTATAGCTGGGGGAACCTAATACACTGGAGGGAGTGAAGTATTTACTGTCCAGAGAGAGTTGATATGAATCTGTGTAATGATCTATAGGAGTGTGCGCTCTCCTTGGTACTGAAGGGATGTCCCTGGAATCAAAACTTGTATTTTTTCTTCCTGTGTGTGCATTCAATAATGAGTCCTGCTGGAGGTGTGTTGAAGACTATCACCCTGAGTTGGCAGAAACATTCATGCTGTGTTTTTGTATTTATTTATTTTTTCAATTTTTAAGTATCTTAAATGATACATTTCTAGTTGCAGGCTCAAAGGACACTAGGGAAACGTCTTTGAATTGTGTTCAATGTTATTTCCACTCACTCTATTACTGGATATTGGACTGGATAATAAGGTCCAGCAAGTCCCCCTCCTCATCTTAAATATACCTGTGCTGGTCTTGTGGGTAATAGTGCAACCTCTTTGGTTTTTGTGCAAATATGTAGTGTTCTTGTGGTTCTGCACCTACTCCTGCCCCCAATGAAATGCCTTAGACACGCCCCTGCGGGGGGCTGCAGTAGTGCGTTATGGTGAGAGCATGACAGCGGCCATTGGCAAGATATAGAGCACTCTGACCCATTAGACTCACAACCAATTTGTTCAAAAGGTTTGCCATAACTCAGTCACAGCATCACAGGACATAGGACCACTGGCAAGCTCCACAAGCGTTAGATTATTTATTTATCCACTGAGGTATTTTTTCTCTGGCACTAAAACAGGGGAGTATCTGTGTGTATTTGCGTGCACACACCAGACCTGTAAGCAAGACCACCTATTAGACGAGTGCAAACCAATTCCAATTCCAAGATCAGTTCCAGTCAAATTCAAGTCAAGACCAGGTTCAAAGCAGACCAGGTTTGAAGCAGGCCAGGTCCAAAGGGAGGCTGTGGCTTAGTGGGTAGAGTGCTGGACTTCGAATCGGGGGATAGTTGGAGTCCCACTGCAGTCAGCATGTCGTTGTGTCCCTGGGCAAGACACTTCACCCCAAATTGCTCCTGTGGGGATTGTCCACAGTACCGAATGTATGTAAGTCGCTTTGGATGTGTGCCTTGGCAGTCTGACATGTCATGTAATGTCATGTCCTTGAACAGTGCAACCTGAGAAATGTATCAAGACAAAGGTGGAGCAAATCTCCAACATTTTCTATTAAAAGAAACTAAAAAATCAATATGCTTTTGCCAGAAAAACAATCAACAAACAAAAGACAATCCACATGCCCTTACTAGTTATCCATGCATATATATTTTTAAGTTTTATTTGAATTGAATGTTATTGTGAGTGTTAACGGAAACCAAAACATTACACTTAAAACAAAATAATTATATATTTTAACCAGAAAAAAGTGTATACATTACTCTACGAAGTCCACAAACCTCAGTATGGCATTCATCCAACAACTGTTGGACAGTGAGACGTTTGGATAAGCGGAAATAGTTTTCTATGGAGTGGTTTTTTTCATTTCTTTCTATTAATCTCAATTATTAGTCAGCTCCGCACACACTTTTTTATTCAACTTCATTGTAAAAGGTTAGAAGGAAATATATCATAGAAGCACATCTTAAAATCTGCGCGATTCAATAATAAAATAAGATGTAAGTGAGACAAAACATGATTTTTCTATACAACCCTTTTTAGGAAACACTATCCTATAATGGAAAGGTGAAAAGTGTCCCACATATTTTTTTATGCAAATCTTTAACTAGTCATTTTTAATGTCAGTACATGTACAACAAAATACTTTATTCTCCCCTTTGACAAAGCCACTTTGAGCAAGTTATTGCTTCTGTTTGATTCGGTTTCTTTGCAGTCCAGGTTGTGGTCTTTTCAATGAAGTGGTCATTTCCTATTGTAAAATAAATCCCTCTCTGGCTTCATAATGAGGAGATTGATGTGGAACGGCCATGACATGTCCTGTCAAACAGTCCGGCCGCCAGGGAGAGGCCACTGAAAGATGCAGCTATTGAGAAATACGGAGGGGAAGGAGCCACAGAGAGAGTGACAGGTGATGTACGGTAAACCTGGTATTATGCACACATAGACACATGCATACAAATAGGTAAACACGTAGAAGGTATGACCTCAGTATATCTTATAATAAGCTGGACAACTAAGCTGCTATTTTGATGGCTTCAGGGGATTTAAGCTAAAAAAAAAAAACTTCATCTCTGAGAAAGCTTTTGCAACATGGCAGCTGTCTTCCCAGATAGACCCAGCCAAGTAGAAAGTCGCAAGACAAAGTGTGTGAGAAAGACACACACACACAAAGACGGAGAGAGAGGGAGAATGAGCAGTGGCGTGTGTGTGTGTGTGTGTATGTGTGTGTGTGTGTGGAAGGACAGGTTGTTGTGTCGCTTGCTTCTAATGCAATTTACGTATGTGCCTTTCAGACTAGCAGCAGCAGTTGCAGCCAAGAGAAGAAGCGAAGGAGGAAAAAGAGGAGCAGAGTGATGGACTCCCCTCCCTCCCAAGAGGTCGATGACATCAATAAGAAGCTAATAATCCTGCCTCAAGCTACCTCAGAAGGGCTGGCCAGAACTATCCACTGCAGTCCACCCCTTCTCCTCCACCTCATACATCTCAGTCTCCACATCCCCAGAAGACCACGGGTTGGGAAGGGGGAGAGAGAAGGATGGAAAGTGAGGTGTTTGGAAGAGAGAGGGAAAAGAGACATTTTGCTCTTCCTCACGTTTAGCTATCGATGAGGCGCACTAGGGATCGTCTGATATTGATTGTGCCTTCTTTTCTTTGGGGCTCTGGTGCTTGTTATGGGCGGCACGTACAGGTGGCTTTGTTGTGTGTATGTGTGTGTTTGTGAGTGCATGAATGCATAATGTGTGTTTGCCTTTTTGCCTCTGGTATTGTTGCTGCTTGCTGTCATTTCAGAAGGGAAGGTAATTAGATGCTTGATTGGGGGGAGCATGAACCCGTCTGCTCCCTATGGCGTGTGTGTGTGTGTTGGGTGTGTGAGTCACCTGCAAACAGCTCTGCTTTGGTTTACACACGCACAAAGAAGAACTGTACCGGATGACATGTAGCTAGACAATGTCAAGCTAAAGCCCAAACAGAGCTAAATGTGGTAAACTAAATGTCAAGTGAAGCCACAGCCCCCTCCTACATTACCTTATGGAAAATGAATCTGATATGATTAACTTTCACTGCATGAAGATCCAAATAGTTTTTAAACAGGATGAATCATAATCACAACATGTGGCCATTAGGCTGATATTGCATTCAGCTGTGTATGCTTGTTTAGACACACATACATTTCTTACACATCGACTTCCCCACAAGAGGAGAAAACTATGATGTCATCTTTTTATGCCCTCTGTATTACAGTGCTCATTTCCAGTGGTCACATTTAACCAACTGATGCCACCTAGAGGTGATTTGATACAACTGCATCAGGTATAAAGCTTCAGAGGACAATGGGTGTGTATAATGTAAGAGGATTAATGCATGACTACATATATATATATATATATATTATATATAAGTGAAATATAACACTTCAATTATTTTGCGTCCTACACTCCGACGCAGAACAGATCGCACCAGGCAGAAAAACACATGTGGAAATGCCTCACATTGACAGTACAAATCTGTTTTCAGAAGACCTAGTATAATCACATGCCATCCAGTTGTACATATTTAAATAATAATATGCCAGCCTTCACCTCTGTATTATAATAGTTACGAATTTAAAAAAGATTCAGGCTTTAATGACATTGTATAGATTGTCATCATCTTATGCATAAATATTGTGGATGTTACATTAACTTCAACTATTATGTTTGCTTTATGCTTCCAACTCTATGGGTTAAAGTGGTTGCATCACATGTCTTGACTTGATTCAATTTGTTACTCTAGTTTTTACTGTCACTTTCTCAGTCATCCCTCTCAAGCAAACAAGCGCAAAGACACCACACACACACACACACACACACACACACACACACACACACACACACACACACACACACACACACACACACACACACACACACACACACACAGGTTTCTCACCTCTTTGGTGACGTTGTCTTGGACCAGGCTGTAGAGGGGCACCACGCGGCTGACTTCCAGCAGCACAGGGATGGGGGAAGGCGGCTCTCCACTCCTGCTGTTACCGGTGCGGCCTCTCCCTGAAAGTCCTCCCACCACGGCCTGGTGATGGCACAGGTGGCAGCCAGCTGGACAGCTGCCCTTCTCCTCGCAGCGGATCTCCACGCCACTCACCATGTCGTCAGACAACAGCTGGCTCTTCTGCATTGCCGACAGGTAGCTGATGAAGGGGACCGACTTCAGCTCACGCCGCCCACCGCCACTAACCCCTTGGTCTGTTGCCTCTGGAGGGTTACACAAGAGAAGAAGGGAGGGTATGGGTAGGAGGGGGTGCAGATAAGGATAAACCAAGTCAACAAAAACAAGCATTTACTTTAGGGGATGAAGGAAAACAGCTTATTTTTGTTATATGCAAATTGTAAAAACAATCCCTGTTTCCCGTACTTTCTGTAATCTTTATTTCCATAAAACTATTTATGTATCTTAAAGCGTAAAATCTAAAAAAATAATCACATTCCCTCAGTTGCATAATGCATCCTCATCTGGATTTACTTTTACTTGCTGCCAAGGGGAAGAAGAAAAAAACAACAACTAATTCCTTACTGTCATCAGCTTTCATAGACAAAGGATGAATGGGGTGGGGTGGGGGGTGTCACTTGCTTCTTTCAATTACCACTGTTTGATGTTATCACTGAAGTAAGAAGAGATTTGTTTCCCCCGATTTACTCTCAGTGGGAAAACAACACACCATGCGGAAAGAAGAGGCAGCGACAGAAGCAGGGGAGGAGTAGAAACAGGAGGAAATGCTACTTTGGTGTTGAGTGTTTCATTTGGAGGACACATCAGGCCACATGTTACAGTGGAGCAGATCTGCCATCTGGGCTGATGTGGCAGATGTGCTTTTGTGTCAATTTGCTTCACAAGAGGAGAGGACACATGTGTGAGTTTTAAGTGATAAGGTGTCATTTACAGTGAAAAATAACCATATTAAAATTGGAATTACTGTATAATGATGTATCTTTGAGACATGACTTATCATATGTGAGTGGAAACCACACAGCATGAGAAATGTATTTGCACAAATTTGATTTCATTCATCAAACCCTCGATGTTGCAGTTAAATACACTGAACATGTCTTTTATACAGAGGTGTAGGTTGCCAGAGTATTAAGTAACATACACCCTATGTAGATTAATGAAGCTTTTTTAGTTGAAATTGAAGAAAAAAAACCCTCAGCCCCTGACACAAGAGTATAAACACACACATCTGCAAATGTTTAGGTTACAATCTTACACCCCCATTGACGTTGATACAGAGGCACATGGATGTATGAACGAGATTACCCATGCATACAGAATTTCATAAGCGTATATATGCACACACACAAAACGGACAACATATACTCACAAAGACCAAGAAAAATAAGGGAAACCCTAAACCCAAAGGAAATGGATAAGAGAGCAGGAAAAGCCCTTGACATTACTCAAGGTGGGGTAATTGGGACCAATTAGGGTTAATATTTCAAATGACTTATTTCCTGTTAACCATTTTAATGACAGTGAAATCCAACATCCCTTAAACTACTGGCAGTGGCAGACATACAGTGCATGAACCCAAATGTGTTTGTTTGAGAGATGGAGTGAAACTTGTCTAAATGTTTCTGCATGAGCAATTTCAGTTGGACTCCTGTAACATCAACAATATTAAATACGTTGCCCCAAGACATGAAAGGGGTGTGTAAACTTTCAACCATTCGTTTCTCAAACACAAACACATGCGCTTTACCAGCAGGTATTTCAAAGTTAAGAAAAAACAGAACACGGATGGGGGTGTTTTCAGGACTGTAGTTATATTAGCAGGAGAAAAATACTATATATGTCAAGTATATTTGACATTACAACTATGCAATTTGAAACCAAAAGGCTTTGATGTATCAAAAAATGCTAAAAATAATAATTCATGTGGTTACATAGCAATACTGTAAAAAGTATGTTATATTGTACAAACGTTAATAATTCAAATGTGCATAGGAAGTTGTTCAATCATTTATATTTTTTAACACATTATAGTATTGTCTAATGAAAGGGATAAAGATAAAGAAAACAAGTAAAGTCTTTTGACTTCCGTAGAAAATAAAATAGAATATTTTGGGAAATGACTGGGGTTATAAGTCCATTGGCTATAATAGAGATACTAAACATGTTTATCTAACAATAATTAAATAGATAAACAAGTGTCATATCACATGTTTACACACAAACTGAACTTGATGTCACTGAAAATGCCCAAAATCACCAGAAAGAACATTAAGGACATGACCCTGGTTTGTGTGAGGGAAAGAATTGAATCAGTACATACATTTATTTATATATGTCTTTGCAGCTTACTCCTGGTGTGCGTATGTAAGACACTGGGAGGCAGTTGAAAGGGTGGGTGGTAACCTCATGTGCAACAGTATGTAAACAGGCTCAAGGGGTGGCCCAAGAGCCCAATTACATGCACTTCTTGAGGCAACACAGACACAGTAAAAAAAGCTGTCTTCACCCAGCTCCTACAATAAAGCCCTGTAGCTCAGGTTGGCTGTGGATAGCCATTATAATTCACTCCTACCCCCTTAAACTCAATACAATTGTTTACATCTATGTAAACAAATGCATTTGATGAAAGATGTGGAACTGACATGTATTGGCGGAGAAAATAACCAGGAGAAAACGTAGCCAAGGTAATGTGATGTCAGTGTTTACATTTTTTATTTACTTTTGGACTTTGGTCTTTTTTTCAAGACTCTTAACTGTCTTGTATTAAGGCTGGTAGCAACTACTTTAGCATATCATTTCCATCTGGGATGTACTTTGTCTGTGTGTCTGTTTATGTATGTATATGCAATGTAAAGTTCCATCTGAACAACAGTTACACCCTTCACAAGGAGAAATTAAATAGGACCATGTGTATTTTTGGAGTGGCTATTCATTTGGCCTTTTAATTAACTTATAAACGATGACATCTCTTTGCTATGTGGGGTTATTTGGTGGTGGCTGACACTTGGCTATCATCAAACATAGTGAAGAGATAAATGGAGTGAATTTCCTAGCCATTGATCTTGCACTGCCTTTGTTAATTAAAACGTCTTTGTGGACTTGTTGCAGTATAATTACTCATGAGGGACACGTCGCCTCTGGCCAGGGCTATGTTGCCCAGGCAACAACAGCAAAGGTGTCAGATGTCTTCCGAAGCAATTTAGTTCAAATGTTGTTAGATGTGGTTACTTTTGGCATTGTTGTTTTCACTTTATTAAAAAAGCTGCTTGTGCTACATGTAGCACCGTATTCCGATTTGAGCAAACCCTTGTTAGTAGTTCATATTCTTGTATATACACATATATACACAGTCTTTCACAATATTGACACATTTGTATCTGTGTGTGACTTGTACAATGTCAACAAAGTCTACTTCATTTCACCTTTGTAATATCTTGCCATTAACTATTCAAACATAATTTACTCTGTGATTGCCAGTTAATAGGGAAATTAGTAAATAAACTAGTAGTTTAAAATAATGTTGCTGTGGGTTACTTCTAGTTCTTCATTAATAACTTTCCAGTGATTTAAACAGTTGTAGTAATGCTTTTTATATATATTTTTTCTATGTGACCATTAATTGTAATTTAACCTGTTTAGTTCGGTTTTGACAAGTGAAAAGGGGGCTAAAGATGTAAAGTGATATTGTAATAGTATAATTTTATTGTAAGTATCCCTTTGATAGCTTTGCTGCAGTTAACTTCTCTCTGTGTGCAGTTTGTGGTAGCGAGCTTTATTGTGCTCATATAGAAAAGCAGATAGTTTCTTAGATTGCGTCAGATTAATTTACTCTTCCTGTGTGCAGAAATGTTGCATGGGCATCTTCTCAAAGACTTATTCTGACATCTAGTGGTCATTTTATAAAATTACTAACTCACGTCTAAAAACAAATAAGGCACCACACCTGGATGTTTTATAATGCAGTACTTCAGGTTCTCTCTAGCTCTCTCTGTTAAAATGGTTTGCTCAGTTTGAGGTCTGTTTTCTTCTTTACTCAATAGACCCAGTTTTATATATGTGTTTTTTGGAGGATGAACTACAAGGAAGTCATGTCTTCCTTTTAAACTCTACAGTCATTGCAGGATCAATAAGGACAATTTAACTATATTGTAGCCTACTTATATTGTAACTCTTAACGGGATTAGGGACTGTGCATGCAAATATACATATTTTTTATGAAAAACATGACAATCTGATGTGTCTGAATATGGGCACATCGGGATTAAGCCAAATGAAAGATAGTCTAATTATATAAATCTTAATATTCAACATATTCCATGGCCTGCAACAATATTACGAGTGTGCCATCAGGATCAGGACCCTGCCGTGCCCTTGTGCAAGCCCACACAACAGCCAATCAAAACAGACGTCAGGCTCTGAACTGTGCGTATTGCGTAACACTGCTTACGTGACGACGTCCACACTGCAGTCTCTTAGCAGCTGCAGCAGTAGCACAAACACAGCCCGCCCATCAAAACCTCTGAACTTCCAAGCAGCTACAATTGAAGACAAGGTAATGTTTTCATCATGAATATTTGAAAGAGACACCTTACCATTAACCGCAAGTCGTGTTCTCGAATGCTCGTTCATCCAAACCAGACGTGTGATGATGACTGACATTGTCGCGTTGTATCAAGTGAAAGCGGAAACGTTTGTTGTTTTGTCGAGAGGCCTACAATTAACTTGTCTACAATAAGGATATTCACCCGGAACTTCGTTTATAAGTATGTGCTGCAAGGTCAACCTATTTTTAGGCATGAACAGCACTTTCGTGCCCAGTTAACTTGCTTATTCATTGCTAGTAATTATGGCGTCGGACGATCGTGTGTCCATACTAAATATCAACAATTAGCTTAACTTGCCTGCCCTTTATAACCAGTGTTTCATTGTGAACGTTTATTATCTTTAGCAGCACTATGATGTAATCAGCTGTAATCAAAATCAGCTTGTAAATAACACATCCTGTCGACTAACGTTAGATAGTTGTCAGTGAATGGTTTCCCAGTTAACTGGTCGCCACATACTGTAAGTAATGTTTGTTTGTGTCAGCCAAACAGCTACAACTACCTACTTTTAAAAAGAGAAACACTAGTTCGCTATGCTTGTTATAACTGTCCACGCACATACTCTTTGGCATGACATGAAATAGCCTCCAAATTAGCCCAATAACATTAGCTTTGAGGCAATGATTTGCATTGTATAATTCATTTTTAATCACTGTCACAGTGATTGCATCACAGTATCAAACTATGCTACACTTAACTGCTACATGCATTAAAAACATAACTCTGTGGCATCATTATTTCACACATGACGCATTACAACCCTTTTGTTGTTTTTTTTGTCACTAAAGGAAAGGACCAACATGGAGGCAGCCTCTTACCCGCTGGACCCAGATCTATTGAGGGAGGTTCTTGAATGCCCTATCTGCCTGGAGACCTACAACCAGACTCAAATGCGACCTAAACTCCTGCAGTGTGGTCACACAGTGTGCCGGCAGTGTCTAGAGAAGCTGTTGGCTAATACTATAAATGGTGTGCGCTGCCCCTTCTGTAGCAGAGTGTCCCGTATGAGCAGTATCTCCCAGCTGGCCGATAATCTCACTGTGCTCAAGATCCTTGATTGCACTACATCCTGCAGTGCTGCTACTGCTGCCTTAATGTGCAAGTCCTGCTGCAACCGCCTACCACGACAGTACTGCCATGACTGTGCCACATTCCTCTGCGAGCTCTGTAAAGAAGAGGGCCACCTGCATCAAGGACATTCAATCCAGCCAATCAGGGTGGCCGCTGAGCAGCGTCGTAAAGAGCTGGGTGGCAAGCTGGCTTCTCTGCGTGATGTCATGAGTGAAATTCAGAAGAAAAAATCAGCTATTGACAACATTTCCAAGTCCTTGAGACTAAAGTACCAGGCAGTGCAGCAGGACTACGTGTCAGCTGAGCTACGTCTTCAAGAGGAACTCGGAAGGTCTCGGAGGACATTCACAACTTCCATGGCAGAAGTGGAGAAGCTAAATGGGCAGGTCTTGGAGGAGCAGACATACCACCTTAACATTGCAGAGGTAAAAGTGGTGTCACGCTGCGATTATCTGACAATGCTGGTGAGGCAGACTGATATCGCTTTGCTAAAGGATGATGGCGAAGGCAGAGATGATGAAGAGATAGATTTGAGTAGCAGCTTGCCCACCATGTTTCAGCTGCAAGAGCCCGAGCTGGTCCGAACAGAGCACACTAGACCTGTAGAAGTGGGCCAAGTTACCACAAATACTTATACTGTCAATACAGAGGATGAGGAGAGTGGGCTGGAGGTTGCACTTGAGGGTGATCTAGAGAGTGTAGCTGGGGCAATGGGGGCTACAGGTGGTGGAAGGGGGGCTCCATTGGACCTTTACAGAGACATTGACATGTTTGCCACTATAGAAGAGGCAGTATGTGGTTCACCAAGCAGCTTTAAGTCAAAGTCCATGGATGCAGGTGGGGGGTCACCTGGAGGGGCTGGGGCAAGTGCAGGCCCCCAAGTTTGCCAGTTTGTGAAGAAGATGGGCTGCAAGGGAGCGCTACCTGGCACCTTCAATTTACCAGTCAGCATCTGTGTGACTCCACACGGTGAGGTCCTGGTGGCTGACCGTGGAAACTACCGCATCCAGATCTTCAACCGCAAAGGTTTCCAGCGTGAGATCCGCCGCAACGCCAGTAGCATCGACAACTTTGTTCTGAGCTTCCTCGGAGCTGATCTGCCCAACCTCATCCCCTTATCCATTGCCGTCACTCCTCAAGGCCTGATTGGGATCACAGACAACTACGATAACTCAGTTAAGGTCTACACTATGGATGGACAATGTGTGGCTTGCCATAAGACGCAGCTGATTAAACCCTGGGGCATTACCGCCACGCCATCAGGCCAGTTTGTTGTGTCAGATGTGGAAGGGGGCAAACTATGGTGTCTAACAGTGGACCGCAATGTAGGTGTGGTCAGCTACAACCGATTGTGCTCTGCCGTGCGGCCAAAGTTTGTGACGTGCGATGCGGCTGGAACAGTCTATTTCACCCAGGGTCTAGCCCTGAACTTTGAGAAACGTCACAATGAGCCCTACCTCGAAGGTGGCTTTTCTATTGGCTCTGTAGATAAAGATGGTCAGCTGGGAAAGCAGCTCAGTCACTTCTTCTCAGAGAATGAGGACTTCCGCTGCATCACCGGCATGTGTGTGGATATCAATGGGGATTTGCTGGTAACGGACAGTGGCAGAAAAGAAATCCTCCAGTTTCCCAAAGAGGGTGGATTCAAAGTTCTCATCCAGGAAGGTCTGACCTGCCCTGTAGGAGTGGTCACGACCCAGAAAGGACAGCTGCTGGTGCTTGATTGTTGGGACCACTGTGTCAAAGTCTACACTTACCTTCAGAGGAGGCACTCCTCCACTTCCTAGAGGGACAATTCAGTCTATCTGGACATGAGCATGAGAGATGTATTAGGTATGTGTTGGAAAGTGTGTTTGGAAGTTTGAGAAAGGTAGACTCACACTGTAACCTGTCACTTTAGTTTGGCTGCAGACCAAACAAGTCTTTTTTGGGTTATTAAATGATAATTATAGTCAAACTGGTTCAGTTTGAAACCCACTGCATTTTATTTTAATCAAATACAAATGATGCTACTTAAGCTGCCTATTATCTAATAATTTAAATGACAAACAAAACTTGGTAAATTGTTTTACTACAAATAATAATTGCAATAGTTGTCAATAGAAGCCAACAATGTTTTACTGATACATGCACCATTCAGCCGGAATGTGTGTGATGTATGGCTTTCACTGATCTGGCTCAGACATGCAAAACATAAATATGATAAAGAAAAGCTGACATATTTGCATATAAAATGAAGCATACCAAGGCTTTGGGCCTGTGAAGCACTTTATTATTGACACAACACTGTTTCCTAGTGTGAGGTTTTAGTAGCACAGGCTAACATCGATGTTGCTGAATACAGCAGGCAGCTTTAATGTTTACTGTGCAGTCAGCTAATGGCAAACAGTAAGAAAGTATACAAATTCATTGGATTTCATTCAGCAGCATTCAGGGAACATTAAGCTTAGAATATTATCTTACCTACAGGATAGAGGGTTGAAAAACTAAATTACAACATGATAGGCAATGGTGTCATTTTCCTGGCTGCTGCAGGTTAACACTTCTTTGAGGGTAATGCAAACAGAATCAGGGTTACTGATGTTTCATTTGTAGGCCACATTATTATCATTTTGTCCTGGTACCTAATTAATACTGCCTAGCTAGCATATGTGCTGTGTATTTTAAATCAGCGCACCAGCTTAAAAAGCAAATATGACTAAAAATCTAATGTATGATCAACAAACAAAAAATGTTCTGTCCATTCTTTCATTCAACCTCTCCATGTGAGTTACAAGCCACTGCCTCACTTGTGTCACTAGGAGGCAGGCTAACCTTCTGCAAGATAACATGTCATCTGCCCCGTACTGTATCCTATTTTAGTTGTACTTCAGTCAAACGTATACAATTTCAGGCCTCTACATCACCTTCTGTTTGCCTTTCATTTAACCTGAACCATGAAAGTAGCTTTGATCACTTACACTGTAGCTCCTTTTTCTAATTCCCACTTGTCAGACAGAATTGTGTCCATTGTTATTAGCGTACCAAATGTTCAAGATCATTGTTATAACATGAAAGGCTTTAAATTGCATTATTATTAAGGACTAACCTTCAAGTAAATCATGCAATCTTCTATCAATTACTTTTTTTGTTTCCAGTAAAGCCGACACCAAAAAATAGCTCTAGCACCTGGACCACATGATCACACATCAGGTATCTTTACAACCTAAATAATCTTTAGAAACGTTTTTCAAACCTCTTCCAGAGAACTTTTGCCTTGCCATTGTTTCCATGCCTGGTCTGTGGTTACACAATCTTTATGGGAAAACCTGCAGGAGTGTTCAGAATATCATTGCAAATATAATAATATGAGGCGAATACTCACACACCAAACCTGGCTCTGTTACACGGGGATGTTGGTTGCATGTTGCTATGTCACCATGAGGTTTTTATTTAACACTAGACAACTTGCAACCTGAGACAACAGCCATATACCGTGTTCTTGAATAAGTGGAAGTCAAGTTCATCTTCAGCTTAACTGATTTCTGGGTCCATATGAAGCATTAGAAAGCTGCTTTTGTCAGGTAAAATACAAATAAAAAAAGACACTTTTAAATCGTAATATTTTGTGAAATATGGGGAATCAAATTAATCATTGAAACCCTGCCCTGTTTGTATCTGATGTCCTTACATTCGTAGATAGTAAATATGCCTTCCTGCCAATATGTATCTTCTTGATATGCTCATAAGAGTTTATCATATAGTAACTCAGCCTTAAACATGGTTTCACAAAACTGACCTTAACTCTGCACCTGGAGCCCTATTTAAAAGAAAAAATACAAATATATATATTTAAAAAATCTGACTGTGTTGTAAACAATAGTTGTGTGTGAAATTTCAAATAAGTAAAGTGTTGAGGTTAAGGAATAGATAGATCTGAATTTGAGTACACGGTGAAGTTAGTTATTTCCTTGTGCTTTTTCACTTTACATTACATATTTGTTTTAATTGTTATGCCATGTAATATCTCAACACTAAATAGATTGTGATTCAAGATTGTCTCAGCTGCATGTCAACCTTGCCATAAAAAAACACTGTTCTTGAGTGCTTTCACTGTATTCATGGTAAACAGAAGTAGTTATCACTAGAATATTCAAACGTTACAGATAGAAACATCAAGTGTCAGTGTACTGAACTTCAGTGTTTCACATCTGAATACGTATTCTTCCATGTAATTGAAGATAAATGTTTCCCTTCGATGACCAATGGATCTTAATACCGCCATGTGTCCACACCTTATGTTCATGAACCAAACTCCCAAGTGTTTCAGGTGTATTGACCTTTGGAGGCGGTGCATTTTACAATGTGTTGAACACAGCACAGACATCTTTATGTAGTCATATTCATGTTTGTATTGTTGATTATCTGAGTGCAATAAACATTTACGAAACAACTCAAATACATGGATGAGTATTCTATTATTGTGTCCTCATTTATTAAATATGTATTTTTTCTTTGTCACTGTATTTAAAGCATACCTCTTTTTGGTCCATACTTTGCCACTTTTTGAGTTCCATTCATTTTCATTTTCAATTTTGCTGAGATAAGTGGTGGGTGACAATAATATCCAGGATGATTCTAAGTTTATAAAGCATTACACATTCACTTTAAGGCCTAGTCATATCTTGATGTCGGGTTCGAAGAAGTATTCAGATCCTTTACTTCAGTAAAAGTATAAAAACATCAACAAATAGATTTCAATGAAAGTACATAAGTAATATCAGCAACATAAGTTAATGTAGCTAAAAGACACTGCTTGAAACAGCAATGCATCACTGAATCAGATTTAGTGATGCATTTCAGAATACATTTTTTCATAATCAATTTGGTTGAAATTAAATCTAATCCCTGACACATGGATAATGTCCCTTTCATAAAGCCTAGTACTTCTCTGTGTGTTTTCAATCCTGGTCCTCCTCGACCCAAAAATATGTTTTTATTTTTACTACAAAGTGTATTTTATTTAAATCCCAGTTTCCAGCCATACTGAATGGCCGGACTGAAAAGTTGCACTTTTTAGGATCACGGATGAACAGGATTAAAAAACACCATGTAAAATGGAACAGTGCTGCTCTGAATATGCTTTGAGGCTGTTAAGTCACACTAATGATTAATTCAATCCATGCAGAGCTTGTGCTGCCTTTTCACCAGAAGGAGAGTCTGGACAGGATACAATCTTTAAACATAACCAAGTTTAATTTATAGTCTGACAAAGTATGACCTGGCTCTACTTTTCTTCAGTGTGTATTTGTATGAAATGGAGTTCCTTGACTTAGAAGATGTTTGCTTTATTTAGTTACATTTGAATCTCCTGGAGGCACCACAATGTTTCCCTTTTTTTTTTTTTAAACATAGTGTTATCCATAAATCCATAAATCCAAACATTTCCCCTTTGGCAAATCCCCCAAAATGAATATGAAAATATGTCAATTCATCCCTCTATAATTCAGCACAAAATATTTTTGGCCTTCTACCTGTGTGTGAGCACACACTCACCTTTCTGGTACTGCAGCCAGAGTTGCTGCTGGGCCTTCTTGCTGGGAAAGTAGATGCTGCAACCGAGCTCAGAGCCGTACAGCGCCTCAGACACGTAGTGGCTGCCATATTGATGGAGAAAAGCCAGCAGCTCCTCGCGTGTGCTCTCAGCTGACAGTGTCTTCAGAACCTTAGAAAAGCCTACCAGGTCAAGAAGGAGATGGAAGAGTAGGGATTTTTGTATGGGGTTGGATATTCAGCCTAATGGTGCACATGTGTTGTGATCTGAAAATCAGGATTGAATGCAGAAAGCTTCACAAATAATGAGAATGAAAGGTAGGTTGACTAAATATGCAGAATATACTGTAGTATATTAAAGCTGTTTAGTCTGGTAGAAGTTATTAATTCATTATTATCACTAACACTGAACAAAAATATAAACACAACACTTTTGTTTTTGCTCCCATTTTTCATGAGATGAACTCAAAGATCTAAAACATTTTCTATATACACAAAATAACCATTTCTCTCAAATATTGTTCACAAATCTGAAAAAATCTGTGATAGTGAGCACTTCTCCTTTGCCGAGATAATCCATCCCACCTCACAGGTGTGGCATATCAAGATGCTGATTAGACAGCATGATTATTGCACAGGTGTGCCTTAGGCTGGCCACAATAAAAGGCCACTCTGAAACGTGCATTTTTGTTTTATTGGGGGTTCTGAGGGGGTCCGAAAACCAGTCAGTATCTTGTGTGAGGGTTAGGGTTAGGGTTAGGGTAATGTTGTGAATCGAGTGGCCTGTGTTCGTCGTCCATAACATACGACTGCCCATACCATAACCCCACCACCACCATGGGCCACTCGATTCACAACATAACATTACCCTAACCCTAACCCTAACCCTCACACCAGATACTGACTGGTTTTCGGACCCCCCCAGACCCCCCCAATAAAACAAAAATGCACGTTTCAGAGTGGCCTTTTATTGTGGCCAGCCTAAGGCACACCTGTGCAATAATCATGCTGTCTAATCAGCATCTTGATATGCCACACCTGTGAGGTGGGATGGATTATCTCGGCAAAGGAGAAGTTGCTCACTATCACAGATTTTTTTCAGATTTTGTGAACAATATTTGAGAGAAATGGTTATTTTGTGTATATAGAAAATGTTTTAGATCTTTGAGTTCATCTCATGAAAAATGGGAGCAAAAACAAAAGTGTTGCGTTTCTATTTTTGTTCAGTGTATAAAAGACATAAAAAAGTGCATTTTGCATGATAGTAGACCTTTAAGACAGTATGAAATCCAAGCTGTGTGTGTGCGTGGTGGGTGTGTGTGGAATTGTGTGTGTGTGGTGTGTGTCGTGTGTGGTGTTGTGTGGTTGTGTGTTGTGTGTCTGTGTGTCTGTGTGTGGTGTGTGTGTGTGTGTGTGTGGTGTGTGTGTGGAATCTTTGATTTAACGGAAAAGAAGTGGCCCGTACTTACAGAGCCCACACATTGGTAAAACGGTCTCCATTTCCTAGTTCGCAAGCGCATTCGTCAAATAATATAAATAAAGGGGGAACGAGAAGTGAAAAACCGAAATAAGATTTGACCACACTTTAAAACCATTGAACTTAACATCACTTTCCGCTGTAACGAGGAGAAAGATTACAGTCGTTAGGTAACCTCAACGTGATATATAGCGTAACTAGGCCTCGTCGACCCTACCGACACTATTACTTATTACTTTACTGTTATTATCCAGTTTACTTTAATACCTAAAAATAAATACTTGAGTAAATAGAACTTAAGTTCGACGAAAGACTCAAAATATACAAAAATTTACCCAAACAAACAACGTAAAAGAACGTAGAGAGAAGAAACATAATTAAAGAAGAGGAACAATAAAAAAAAATAAGAATCCCCTACGGGTTAAGCGTCACTCTCGTCCTCCGATAGGATACCAAGTTGGTCCACCTACTCACGCGTCGTTAGACATGTTTCAGTTCGAGTCGGAGTAGTGGAGCAGGGCTTATGTGTGTGTGTGTGTGTGTGTGTGTGTGTGTGTGTGTGTGTGTGTGTGTGTGTGACCAGTATGGTGAAAGCAGAGCCCAAGTATAAATCTCAGGGGTCAATTTGGATCAAATGCCAATTTAGCTAATGGACGGATTAAGGAGCAGAGTTGGGGAAGGTTTCAAGCCAAATGTCTAAGTGACTCTTTTCCCCCCCAAGATGGGGTGGAACAGTCACGGAAAGGATAAAAGGATGAAGCAGCAGGTCCGGCACACGTGCATGTGTGGAGAGTTTATACTTAATACTTTGTGTTTATGAAAGTGTGGCCCAATTCCAATCCACCCCCTACACCCTACCCATACACACTTCCCCCTACACACTACACCTACACACTACCCCTCCGTTTGTGCGTTCGCGCGGAGGGTCCGCCACATTAAGTGCTGTTCCAGACCTACTGTACGAGTGTGGAGGGGGAGTGGATTATCAAGCCCTCAAACAGTCAGTCTGCATCGGTGCTGACTTCACCTGCTGCCCTACCTGACCGGACTCAACGCTGTGTGTGTCCGTCAGGAAACACGCTGAATACAAACAGTTCCTGCAAACATTCACTGATAAATTGCGATGTTAACAACCTCATGATAACCTCATATTTTTTTAACTAAGGATCATACCTGTATTTAGTCATACCTATGCATTTTATTATAAAGTTGTGTATATTTACAGACTGTTGCAAAAACTAAGAAGCTTATGAACATCAGGTTTAAAACACAACTAAAGATGTTTGGAATTTTATTTTAGTTATTAATTTTATTTTTTGTCCAAGAGATGCTGATTTGAAACCGTTGTTACAAACAGTTACGGCATTTCCTGTTTCTGCCGGAGGAGGGGAGTTTGTCCCAAAGCTTGCCGCTGCATTTACACCCTCCTGTCCTCTTTTAGCTGCGAGTGTCACTCTGCCACGGAGTTCACTCCGTCACGGTGTGGGAGTGGGTAGGGTGTGATTTGGAATTGGGCCTGTATTTCCAGGTGAGGTTTGGGGTTTAACAGCACAGTGCCACAGACGAATACTCAAGGACATGCCCATATCTTTTTTAAATGATCTAGCACTGGCTGTAGTCAGTACTGAATAATATGAACAGTGACCATGAATAGAATGGGTCGTAGAAAGATAATAGAGCTGCCACCTGATAATGCAATGACTCAAATCTATTTGTCTATAACTCTCAACAAGAGGGACAGACAAGAGAAAAAAGACCCCAAACTCACTCACCTGTGAGGAGCTGCATGTTGGGCAGGGGCTCGGACAACACCCCCCGACATTGTTCCTCGACTGGCAAGGGGATGACCATGAGACCGTCGGCTAGCTGCGGAAAGTCCTTGATAAAGTTGTTGTCCCTGATGGGGAGAGAGACAGAGAGAGAGAGAGAGAGAGAGATAGAGAGAGAGAGAGAGAGAGAAGGCCATCATTTATCACTCAAACATGAGGTAGCAGTTTACTTGACAATTAAGAGATTCAATATTACAAGGCTATCATCTTAGTACAAAGAATTTGTATACAAATAATACAAAAAGACTGACCCTGGGCACCTGGGCCTGTATATTCGTGGTATTTTGGCTGCACAATACTTAATAATACATGAAAACAACTCAACAACAATACATCCAGACATGTTTCCGTGCCTTGGCAGCTGCTCGCCTCCTGAATCATTCAGAAACAGGAATTCAATGCGTTCACTGTTTTTTTCCCTGCATGCTTCTCTATGATACTATTTTATTTGATCATTAAAGTAATAGTCTCATTGGTGGCTAAACATGAGGGAGAAATATACTGTACTGTATCTACACATTAGAGTGTAGACTCTTGTCATGTTGGTTATTCATTCCATCCACAAGTGACAGAATTAACTCACTGGTTGGGTTAGCATCAATAACATGGGTACAAAGTCAAAACGTGTGTGTTTGATACTTGGCAGACAAATAAAGTAAACAGCTGTGTCCTCATATTTGTGGGCTGGGTAGAGGGCTGCAGGCAAAGATAAGATAGACCCACTGGAATCTCTCTCTTTCTCTCTGCTAGAGATGATAAGTACAAGAAAGAATTGCAAAGTTAAAGGAAGCGCGAGGGAAGGGAAGAGGAAAACAACACACATAACATCTCTCTATGATAGTGAGAGGTTGCAAAGAAAGTGAATGCAAATGGAGAATATCTAAATGGATGTGCTATTCTCTAAACAGAGCCTTTTTCACTTTCCCATCTATTTGCACTGTCGTAATATATCACAGTGGACAAATCACTTGCAAAATAAATAGCAGTAGTCCAACAAGTAGAGAGATGGCGCATGTTCCGTTCCATTTTTCTTGAGTGGATAGACCGTTCTGGTTGAACCAAAGCAGTTGCAGTTCATCTCCTGTCAAAAAGACGAGTTGTCCTGCTGCATTTTAAGAGAATGTCAAGCAGCAGCAACCTCTCACATAATCCACTTTTATGGGACCGAGGCTCAGAGCGCAGACCTTGTGCCACAGAGACCCCTCTCGGTTCTCTTTCTCTCTCTTTTTCCTCCTCTTACCACAAAGCCTGTTAGAAGCAATCACAGCCTTAGTGTTACAGTGCAGGGATGGGAGGATTGACTCAAGGGCAGAGGATGAGAGAAAGAGAAGAGGTGCTGTAAAAAGATTACCGTTGCTTATTCTCACAGAAAACATATTGATTGCTAAATTAAATCAGCCAGGTTCACGCTGAGGCTCAGAGAACCTTAGGAGGTGTATGCACCAATACGTTATCTAGCTTTATGGATTTTTTTGGAGCCCAGATGTGGAATGCCTTTTTCTTTTCGGCCACTTTGCTGACACCACCCAGTCACATTCTAGGATTTGAAAGACATACAGTATGGTATAAGATGGCGATGTATCTCCTAGTTAACTGCATTTGCTGAAAAGTGAGAATTAATGGAGAATAAAAAAACGGTATAGCCTAATGCCTCAGGTCTTTGCTGTGCCTGAGTTTACATAACATATTATATCCTTAACCTCCTAATACTTCTTCTTCAATCCTTGAGGGACAGAGACACTTCGAGCAAGGACAGATTGTTGTGGCATCTGTCCATGTTCGCACAGGTTCAGTTGCGATACAGTAAATTCTAAAGAGACAAAGTGTCAATCCTGTATATTTGTGATGTGTTGTTCTGTCAAGGCCACAGTTGCTTTCAGTAGTTTAGGAATGTGTATTTGGCTAGAAGGGAGCTTAAAGCATCTATTCAGTAAAGTGCTAATTAAAAGTGGAGGCATTGAAAAGTGTACTCCTTATCCAAGTATATGTATTTTATTTTGAAGTGCTATGTTGTCCTGCAATAAGCAATTTTTTTCTATCTTTCTTTGTAAAGAAAATCCTGGTTGGCTTGCTCAAATAATGTATGAAAAGAAAAAAGGAGGAGGAGGAGACATTTATCTGTATTTCTACAACCCATCACACATTGTGGTGAATAAGATGAGCCAGTTCATTCTCTTTCAATAAAGATCATCTCAATCTTACACAACTGGTAGCCATATGGATTCATTGTTAGCTGGCCATGGCTAACTTATCTCACCTAACTGATAAGATCGACTTTCCTTAACCAGCTTAATCACAACAAGCAAAAACCTGGCAATAGAGCTAATAGGAGACACTAATTTGTGTGCTAACCCGATGATATCGCTTACTGAGGCCTAAATGAGAAAGAGCATCATTATTCATCATTATAAGTTACACCTTTTCCTGCAAGCACAAGTCAAAAAGCCTGCTGTGCAGCCACCAGCGTGAATTTGCTCAGACAGCTGGGTCTTTTATATATTATTATAAACTCCTTGAGTTAGATTAATTAACATTAAAGCAAGCAATGCTCTGAGCAATAAAATACAACAAACCTTCTTTGTAGCTTCCATGTTTCCACTTTAAGCTCATGATTACACTGAAGTCTGAACAACTGTGAGGTCTGCACTTTCCGAATGCCATTGTAGTTACTGGTGTAAAACATTTGTATTCATTTGTTGACGTGCTGTTCGTTTTCATTCTGACCCTGCACAACTACAATTTTTTTTCACATAGCAATACATTAATGTATGTTAGCTGAATTCCGATATCTGTTCCAACATTTTTGAGTCCTTGCATTTGCCTCCTGACTTACTGCCAAATGCCGCACAATGCAATAATGTTATACCAATCATAGGTAAAATAAGACTTCAGTTTTGGTTTAATATGTGCAATAACCAACATATAATAGAATTCACTAGTGAATGTATATCTAGAAAATAACACTCACACACTACACTGTCTCATACCTCTTCCAGGGATAAAGGTTACAATTTGAATATTGGCTTTTATTCTTCTGCATCATTTTGTCTGATTTACTCATATCAATTCCATCAAGCGTAAGGCCTTAAATCAAGGGTGGGAACCTTTTTCCTCTCAAGGGCCATTTCAATTTTTTCAACATCCTCCGGGGGCCGTAAAAAAATATTGACCTCTGCTTAAAAATACTAAAATAACAGCCCATTCATTTCGCCTTTCTTTCATTCTGTGCAAAGACAAATCAACCTCTTAATCCAGATATCTTACCATGACTCGCATCGTTTATTTAGTTTCCTATCGATGTGAACATGATTTAAGTGGAGGGGGGACCTAACCTTCTCTAGGGGGGTCCGGGGGGCATGCTCCCCCGGGAAGATTTTTTTTTTAATGTTGAAGTTAAAAGCATCAACCTGGTGCACTTTGAGAGCAACATTAGGAGATCTATGGATACATCTCTCAACACCCATATGAAACAGAACTGTAAGCAGATTTTATTTTTCTTTATGGATATTTTACAAATCACTCTCCTTTTTAAACTGTATTCTTGTTTATTAATAACAACTTTTTTTTACTGTCATATAGCATTTTATACCTGTTTACTTTATTCTCTTATTTTTTTATAATAACTATAATGATCATATAAAGATGTGCCTTTACCTCACTGGTTGTAGAAAAAGCTTCTTATATTTGTTAGCATAGCTAGCTAACCAGATGCTAATAACCTCAAAGTTATTGACTGTATGATCAGTATGACAGATGAGCAGATCGCCACCGGGCTTTCAACGCAAAAACTGCGGCATGTGTACGGCTCCTTATGGGTAGGCCTACTGCAATTTCTGAAGTGCCGGAGTGGCGTTCTGGTGCTCTCCGTCAGCACTGCACCCCTGTCAGACGAGACATATACCACGTGACGACACGTTAGGCTCGTGTTGTGTTCAAGGACCCTGACCTTGGCCAGGAAAAACAGGCACTCGCTTGTTTAATTCTTTTGCGGTCTAGATTTCTTAATTGTTTTTCTTTTTTGCGTGTGTTTATAAATGACCTCGAGTGCCAAACCAAATGGTCTCGCGGTCCGTATACGGCCCGGAGGCCGGAGGTTCCCCACCCCTGCCTAACATGAAGACATCTCCTAGCGCTCATTAGCAGCTCCAAGCGGTGTGTTTATACTGTGAGGATTAACTCAGGCTGCTGGTATTTTTCAATAGCAATTAAACCTTATTGAGGACTCCATTTGACAACAATCAGATATTAACAAAAGCTTTTTAAACCAGGATTATCTCTTCTAAATTAGGACATCCAGGTATCTAGCTCATTATTTTTAACGCATACTCACCCGAACAGCCTCACTACACAACAACCTCCCATACACAATAGACAATATGTGGGTCTGGAGTCTGGACTTGCTTGGGAAATGAGTAAACACTGGTGTATTTACTCATGTTTCATTCAGTACCCATGTCTGCTTATTAGAGGCAGTGGACACTGGGTACCCTCCTGGCCAAACACTGTGGCAAAAGCTTCCTATTTGTATGAGAATCTCCAAAACACTGACTTAAAAATTATATCTGGTGCGATACACATATCCCCGACCATTTCATGCATATATACTAAAGCTCCAACACTGGTATTTTCCATCTTCTTCTTTCTCTCACTCTCCATGTCTCTCCGTGCCCTCGGTGTACACTATTTATTTTCAAACCCAGTAAATATACACCGATTATTAAAGCATACTGAAGCTCATGTCTCACATGCAAATCGTTTTTGTGTCTCACATCCAGTCATACATTTCATTATTTCTCCCGAGATAGAGTGTAACAATTGCTCACATTTGTTCAGCCTAGTCCCAAGCGGTAACCCTGCTCTCTGCATCACTTATTCCTACGCTTATTCACTCTCTCGGCTACACCTGTTCTCTCCTCCCAAATCCCAGGCACTCTGGTGATAGGCAAAGATAAGAGCTATATAGAATTTAGAAAAAAAAACGTTGTGCCTCTTTGTATGTATGTGTTTCAGTGTGCATCTGGGTGGGTTTAGTCACCTCATTTCAAATCTAACTGTTTTGGTGTCCTCA